GTAGGTAGTGATGCGGGAAACAAAGGCAAAGGAAAAATTATTAAATTTCCTTACTACCTATAGCCCATTGACAAGTCCTTGAAACAGGCAGAGTGACATTCCTCTAGGGACTCAACTGCCTGGATGTTGATACTTTGCTAAGGGCAAAAGGAAATTTTATCCCAACCCCCAGGACCCTGTAAGTCTACCTTAACATAAAAATTCCTTTGGAAACTTCCTTTATCTCTACACCCCCCCCAAGATATATCTTGGCGATCATCCCCCCAATAGATGACCCACTGATATACATCTGAAGGGTCTCATGACTGAGTTTTTACTAAATAGTAATAAATGACCTTCCCTAACAATAGCTAGCCCCCTCAGGATCCTGGAAACCCTACTTCCAAAAATACCTGGAAGCTTATACTACCCCTAACCCCCTCCCAACTTGAAAGTATATAATGGGCCACACTCCTCATGACCCCAGTGCAGCTCCTTCTGCCCACGTGTCCTGTCCCCATGCTTTAATGAAACCACCTTTGTGCACCAAAGACGTCTCAAGAATTCTTTCTTGGCCATCAGCTTCAAACTTTAACATCTTTCCTATGTCAGGTAGGATAAAAAGTTGTTAGGTGAACTTTTTGAATAGTTTCTCCAAATCTTTATAGTAACCTGAAATCTGAAAATTTTGCTAAACATTCAATGATGAGTTAAATTAAATTCATTAAATACCCAGATCATTTCCAAATAAGACAAAATAGAAACATTAATTACTGAACATAGGTTTATCCTCTTTTGGTTTCCTTTTTACAAAGGAACTAAAGATATTTGGATCTATCAGCAAACATATTTTATGCCACATTGAAAAAATTGTACTCTAAGGAAGGATATGTCTCTAGAAATCATAAAATGTAAATTTGCCAATCTGAAGAATGCTGATGTAACAGTTCACAATTGCTTACTTAGTTTTTACTAAGATTAAGGTTTTAAAGGGTGAAAAATTCTAATATATAATTAAAACTACTAGAAATAATAAGGGAAATATCTCTGTATGTAAGGAAAGTAGGATGTGTGTTTTCAGTGAGGAAGGGAGATGCATTTTTGTTGAGGAAAAAGAGTAATTTTATCCTAAAGAGAGGTAGAAAAGAAGAAAAAAATAGGAAAAAGTCTGAATCTAAAACAGTTTTACAAAGATTAAGGAAAAGGAACCTTGGGAAAGTAATTTTCTGTGTGATCAAGTTGGATAAAATTAAATAAATTTATAAGTTTTTTAAATAAGCTTTGATATGATCAATGTACTCATCCTTAAGAAAAACTAGAACTTAATATTTTTCATCTGCCAGAAGGACAGTTTTCTTGGACTATTGGTCTGCCCCTGATAAGAGATTGTGAAAGGTTTTCCTTCTTTACCTTTTAAGTAATCTGCCTATAAAGCAAAGATTTATGTTTTATCAAAATGATTTCCTGTGCTCTTTATCATTGGGTCTTTGATCACTTTAGAAAAAAAAATTGTCCTTTAAAAATTAAGGATCCATGTACACAAATGTGATTTAATATGAATGTGTTTTTATCTTCAGCTTATAACTTTTGCCCTATTGGTACGTCTTCTGATGTGAATACAAACCCAAGAGCAAATAATGACTGATTTTAATAAAACTTAACAAAAATGGATGAGTTGTTCACAGAGCTAAGCACTAATCTCACCTACATAACTGGTTCAACTTTATATAGTATAAGTAAAGCATAAAAAATAAATTATTTTGGGTGCCTGGGTGGCTCAGTTGGTTAAGCGACTGCCTTCGCTCAGGTCATGATCCTGGAGTCCCGGGATCGAGTCCCGCATCGGGCTCCCTGCTCAGCAGGGAGTCTGCTTCTCCCTCTGACCCTCCTCCCTCTCATGCTCTCTGTCTCTCATTCTCTCTCTCAAAATAAATAGATAAAAAAATAAAATAAAATAAATTATTTCATCAAGCCCATTTAAATAAATGCTTCCTGTGTCCTGAAATCCTAAAAGATTGAAGTTGACTGCTTTTTGGAAGCTAAATTGTTGTCTTCTGAATCATTGCTTACCATTTTATCTTAATCATTCTAAAATATTTTCATAAATTTACCTATCTAGTTAGTGACCATGTTATGAAAACAAAAGGAGCTAATAATTTGTCAATAGTACAAGGAAACTAATATCTAAGTAGAATATTTCTAATGGGGTTATTAGAAACATTGAAAATTATTATGTCAATTAATCTTCAGAGCCTTTCCCCAATTTTTATTTTTGGTTCTTTTCTGTGGTTCTATCTTTAACCACAACCAGTGTTCTGTGTACTCTTATAGCCGACTTTGTACCACCCATTTAGCAAGCATTCTGTATCCTCACGATGCCTTCCAAGTAATAAGCACTCTATGGGAAAGTTGCTAGTTATCCTTCAATATCCATCTCTTCTTATTATTAATACAACCCCTGAATATTAGGGCCATCCAGAATAAAGACCACAGTTTTCAGTCTCTCTTCTAGGCTTGTGTGGCCACATTACTTAATTTGGGTCAATGGGAAAAAAATGGGAATGGTGTGTGCAGCCTCTGTGAATTGTGCTCATGGGGACATAGTATGCCTCTCTCCTTCCTTTTTCTGCCTCAGGCTGGCTAGAATGTGGATATGATGACACCAATAGGAACTGCCATTTTGGATCATGACGTCAAAGCCGCATCTTGAGGAACAAAATAGAATCTGGAGCTCTGATGATCACACCATACCAGCATTTGACTACCTACATTTATGTGGAAAAAAACAAAAACAAAAACAAAAAAAATCCTCCCTTGCTTTAGACACTGTTATTTTGGGTTTTCTGTCACTTGCAGCCAAACCTAATCCTAGCTTACATACACTCAAATATTTATTGATGCATCTGTCTTTCAGGTGTGATCCTTAACATTATGCTTTGGTCTCTGTCATCCATTCTACCCTACTTTAAGGCATGTTAGGACCTAATGAAAAGTGAGAGATGCATTAAATAATACCTATAAACAGTCAGTATTGAAAAAGTTAAATTTATGAGAAGAAAGGATTAAAGAGGTTAAAAATCTTTTCTATTCCCAGCAGCTCTGGTTTATTAAGAGACATTCTAGGTAAAATTTCAAAGTTAACTCCCAAGATAATTAGACAAAAGCTAGGCCAGATGTCTAAGCTAAGTTTTGGTCTCAAAATAATTACCTTTGTTAATTACCAGTAATTAGTGTCAGCATCCAACACTTTCCTAAAAACCCTTGTTGGGGAGTGGGGGAGGAGTGGAGAGAGGTAGAGGAAAGAGGGAGAGAGAGAGAAAGAGAGAGAGAGAGACAGAACACAAGAGAGAGTCAGAACAAATGTATTTTCTAGTACAGTTATATCTTGGGGTTATTAAAACCTGACTCCAATTTTATAATTTTGAACATTGGGTTTTATGGAAAAAACAGATATTTTCTTCCAGTTAATACAGATAGTTTTTGCTTCTACCTAGACTTAATTTGAAGTTTATATCCTTTCTTATTTTATGCTTTTCTTTTTTCATTTCCAAAATGATTATTTTTTCTTCATCTTTAAAATTATACCTTTAACCTTGGTCACCCACCCTAAAAAAATTTTCAGCAGAAAATGGCCTTAGTAGAAGATCTCGGGGTTCTTCCTGGAGCCTTTCTTTAGCATCCTTTCCTCAGCCAGAGGCTTCTGGTCTTTAGCTCAAAGGACAGCATAGGACTCTCAGTGGTTTGTGGATAACTTAATTTTTTGGCACTTTCTACATAGTTCACCAGTTTACATAATGCATCACTCTTCCCTTCTTTGTGTAGACAACCCTTTGTGAGGACAGAAGTATTTATAGATGCATCCATTTGTGCACTACTTTATCACTTCATATCTCTTTGGGCCTCCTTTTCTGTGTTTAGAGTTTCTTTTCAAATATTTAGGGATACCATTGTCTGGCATTATCCATTAATAATTCATTGTGGATATAGTAATTTTAACTTGCAAGTAACAGTGGAAATAATACTTTACTCTTTAAATCTCTACTACAAACATCTCACACTTAACTCCTGCTTATGCCTCTGTCTCATGGTGGATCCATTTACCCCTTTACGCTATCTCTATTTAACTGTTTACTGGTTTGCCTCCCTCACCAGATTGTTAGGGGGAAAGGACCACATTCTAATTCATGTTTTTCTTTCTCCAGGAGCCACCAAGCACATATAGAATGCACTGAAAAAATTTTTTTTTGTAATTAATGAAATATGCAGTCACCAATATTGTCAGGTCAGTATGACTTTTAGTGACCCACTTTGGTCCTTTTATAGATTCAGTGAGTCATAAGATGGAACAAATTTTCCCACTACCTATTTTGTGTTTTAGTGGTGATTCCCAAGTTTATTTTATATTTTAGTCCATGGGCTATTTCTTTATGCCATAAACAATACTGACCAATTTACCTGCTTGCAGAGAGAAAAATAATTATTTATAAAGCTCACTAGGATGGGAAGGAAAGTGAAGTTTGATGATAAAGTAAAATGGGGTTATTTTGTTTTTAATAAATATCAGGCACAAACTTTCAGCCCATGACAGTAAAGATGGTTGCATTTAATTATGAACACTACATATCAAAAGGGGAAAATTCATATACTCATTATAGAGAGAGAATCTATATTCTACCCCCAACCACTGTACTAAAACTCTATGGCTTTTATAGGTATACACCTAAATTACAAAACCAACCGCATTTTTATATGTTACCATTCACTGCAGGGTTTGTTAACAGAGAAAAAGCATGAGGTATGCTTTTGGGGTGATTTCTATATGTCGGGTGCACACAGGCATATAATTTGCAGGTATATTTTATTTGCTTTATATAAACTGGCAATTGTATAATCCTGATATCATTCAATATTTTCACTCTATGATCACTGTTTATTACAGTATGATCAGAGCTGCTCAATGTAATCACACTTTCCATTTCACAGTTTCCTCTCACCAATCTATATATTCTTTAATTCCATACCTCCAATGCTGTTCTGAACTGTCCGGCTGCCACAGCGTATTTCTTCTGCCTGTAGCAAGAGCTAGCATCCTTTAAGGCTACCTGAAGCCATTTGTCAATCTGAGGCAGAAAGCTGAAATTAGGTACATGCAAAGGGTCTACTATTTCAGCAGCTCGGCATGTTGGTCGAATCCCAGTGGACATGATGGACTCTACAAACTCATAGCTCACATCCTCTTCATCGATGTAGACCAACTTCACCTCCACATCCATGATGTTTTTTAAGGGGATGTGAGGCAGAGGCATGGTGATCAACGTGTTGTCAAGTTCTGTTATCTTTGCCTCTTTCTTTCCAGCTGGCTTTTCTTCATTTTCTGCCTTCCTCTTAAAGGCCACTTTCTCTAAATCATTACTTTGTTTTTCTTTGATGCTCTTTGCCATTTTTATTCTTTCAACGGGGATTTCTACCTGTTTATCTCCACAGCTTTTCTTAACCTCTTGTGACATTTCCAGGATGCTTGGTTGGTTTGCTAAGGTAGACATTTTCTTGCTTGTGTTTATCTTTGGAACAAGCTGATCAGGATAGACCCTATTCACTGTAGTCTCCAAATTCCTACTGCTTCCTGAATCCATTGATTCCCCCCCTGAAACTCCTGTAAGGGTGAGAAGAAGAAAAATAATTAAAACAACATTTTGAAGTTCCAATGGTTTAAAACAACAGTCAAATTAATTTGAAACACTTTTTTATTCATTATAGGAATTTACTACCTTAAAGTAAAACTGTAGGTACATTATCTGCTGACAGTTTTACTAGAGAAGTGTATGTTTCAATCTCAAAACTCACCAAGGATTTGTTGAAAACACATTTAGACAATGTCTTTAAAAATAATAATCTATAGCTGAACAACACTGAATGAACATTTTTATGGGGTGCCCAAACTCACTGAATAGGAAAACCTTATACATAGGTACTGAGGACAAAAAAAGACAAAAAAATCCATCTTAATATTAATTTCCTTGGAAAGGCAGGTGGTCTAGAACTCATTATAAAACATACTGCTAACCTGCATAATAGACTTGGGAGGCTAAAGAAACCACAGCTGCTTCCTCTGAAAAGCTTCTAGAAATGTTGTATGTACAATGTTTCCTCGATTTATTTCTTCTATTAGTAATGAAAATCTCAAGTTTAAACAGCTTTAAAGATAACTATTATTCAGAACTGATTTTATAGCAGAAGAACATGACCTTCAACCTCACATTAATGTGGAGCCACATATTCATCTTGAGTCTACTGTATTAATATTTTTGTAGCAATGGTATCAATGCTGTACTTATATAAAGATGAGACATTTTCCTAAATCATTACTGTTCAAAAAATGTAATAACTAATGGTCTTTTGATTCAAAGGCATACTATATACTATCTCTGATGCTAGATTAATTTCAAAATATAAAATGTCCTAAGATTTAATAATTATATAGTATGGTTGGTTCCTATTTTTTAAAGACTCTTTTACCCATCAGCTTTTGTCCTAGAAACAACTCTGTAGGGCATATAGGAATAAGAACCACATTTTCCAAAGAAACTAAGAGATAGAGAGGTTAAGTTACTTATCCATATCATGCTGTTGGTCATTAGTTTTTCTAATCTCTGTATAATACAACCTGGATTGCTATTTCCTCCCTAAGACTTCCACTCACTTCTCTTAGCCTTCTCCACTCTCTTCCTCTATTAGCATGTTGTTCTTTGCAGCTAATGGCAGACTTAGAACACAGAGAGAAAATGCAAGAAGGGCTGAGGATGACAATAGGATAACAATGACATAAAAGCTAACTTTCTTGCTTCTTCTCATCTACCACTAGGACAGTACCAGACTGAAGATAAAGTCTTGAGTAGCTTCTCAAAACTTACGATTTTATTGAAGTTGTTTATTTGTTTGTTTGAAAGACAGCAGTTTGCTTATAGAAAACCTTTAAAACACCCTGAACTTTGACCTGGTAATTCTTTTTTTTTTTTTTTTTTAAGATTTTATTTATTTATTTGAGAGAGTGAGAGCGAGAGCCAGAGAGCACGAGTGGGGTGAGAGAGCACGAGCAGGGTGAAAGGCAGAGGGAGAAGCAGACTCCCCGCTGAGCAGGGAGCCTGATGTGGGGCTCCATCCCGGGACTCCAGGGTCATGACCTGAGCCGAAGGCAGACGCTTAACCAACTGAGCCACCCAGGTGCCCATGACCTGGTAATTCTTAAGGAAAATGAAGGAAGAAACAAAACTGTATATATGGCTGTAGCCTTGGGGCACTTTTCTCCCTCTACCATTGTACATTTGTGTCATCAGAAGGGGCTTAGGTCAAACATGGACATATCAAAAACCCTACTGTGATGGTCCAGATCTCATAGGAAAGATCAAGTTTCAATAATTCCAATAATAGCAGTCTTGGATGTTAATTTGCAAAAGTTTAATATTAGAATATTTTCCCAATGATTTATACTGACATATTAGAGTTGTGTGTCTATCGGGGAAAATACCTAAAAAAAATAAAATTTTTTCCAGTCTGTATTATGCTCAATATTGAAGAAAATAACCATGCCTGGGAATCACAGGACCCATCAACACAATATTACTTTTTGCAAGGCTCTGTTTTCTCTTCTTCTCTTAGAATTATGGCTGGCATTCAATACATTTTTTGGACCACTGATGTGGCTAGTCAGAGTGGTGAGGGGAAAACTGTCTTGGCCATCGCTCTAGCTTATATTTGCTCTTATTCCATATAGGATTTGGGTTGAGTAAAGGTTAGCTTTGGTCCTTGAATTAGGATCTCTGGTGGATGGACACTAGGGATACACATCTATACCAGTATTTCTTTCAAAAAAGGAGATGCAGAAATGGAAGTAGCACAACTTCGACACCCCACATATGCACTAAATGGTTTTTTAAATGTTCTATGAAATTTTGAGTAAAATTTATAAAACACAATGTGGCTAAGTTCCAAATAAAGATGGATTCTTAGAAATACTATAGAAATTATATTTATGTTCCCCTCTTGGTATAATGCTATCTGTGAAGAAAAAGAGATGTGAGGCCATTGAAACTCGTTTAAAGCTCAAAATATTTGATCTTAAGGATTCATATTCAGTCTTACCATAGACTGCAAAATATAAACAGGAATTGCTGGGACCTACTCCAAAATTTTCATTGTATCTCCCAGGTATCTTTTCTAAACTCTCCACTTTCAAGAATCAATCATTAAAATGTATCAGAATATCTGTAGTTGGTTGTAGTTAGTAACATTTTTGGCATCTATAGCAGCATTACCTATCTCTTCTGCATTTATTTCACATTTCTAGAAAAATATACATGTATAAATTTATCTTCATGACCATTTCTTCTAGAAGATAATTGCTCTCCCTCCCTTTCTCTCTCCCTGCCCCACCCCACTCTCTCTCTTCCTCCCTCCGTCAATTTTTTCCTTCAAATTCCCCACTCCAATCTTCCTTCCCAAGTCCTTTTTCATTTCAAGAAGGAAGGTTTTATTGTTTTTAAGAAATAGGCACCTGAGTATTTTCTGCATCAGTCCTTAAACCATTTATAGAAATCATAATCATGAGTTTTGTATAAGAAACAATAATAAAGGAGGGAAACGTGTACATGGTACACAGAGCACTCAGAAGGAGTAAGTTTGAGGGCAGATGTTTTGTTTTCAAACATCTGGAAGATTAATTATTCCAAATTTAGACAAGAAACAATTCAGGCCCCCTCAAAAACCCAGAATAAATATCAAAATGTCTAAAAGCGGCCTAAATGTGCAGGCTGAAAAAGTATGGCTAAACCCAATCAATATTTTTCAATGTTGGTTACAAATCAGGTGACTTCATCTTCAGATTTAGAGTCTGTTCTTTATAAAAATTGTTGCATATCTACAGAAGAGTTATGCAACTGCTCCCTTACAACTTTTTAAAAAAAATTATAAAACTCCACTTAAATTATCTGGAATTCAAGGCCTTTCGCCACCTAGCCCAGTGCGTATTTCCAGACTTATTTAGCACTCCTTCTATAAACTGCTCTGAAGTCAAGTTGAACTTCTTGTTACTTCCAAAAGATACTGGTTTCTAGGCCTGCTAAGAATTCTCCATCTTACTGTTCCCAACCTCATTCTACTTGTCCAAACCTAGCTAGAAGTTATCCATCTCTCCCACCTCAGAATACCTATGGTATTTATACCACTTATTTTCTACATTGCAGTTATGCATGAATGACTTATTTCTCCCAATAAGCTCCCTAAAGGTGAAATATGCTTTACTTATCTTGACATTAGTTTGGTGCTTTGCATAGAGTAAGCATTCAATAGATGTTGATCAATATGGATGCTGTGAGTCAAAGGCTAATTTACACATTTTAAGAGAAACAAAATTAGATATTTATAAAGATATGGCCTGTAAATGCAAAAGTTGTTTCTGAGATGTTTTGCTTGTTTTTAAAATTTGTATTTTAAATTTGGTCCTGGATAAAGTACACTTTCTTCTTTGATAGTTCAAGTGAATCATGTACCAACTAGATTTAAACTATCAACCTCTTCATTTTTTTAATAGTCAAGTTGATTAACATGACATTAGTCAGTGTTCCTGAGGCACTGAGTTATACTTTAATCATTACTTCAATAAAAATACTTTTAGAGAAATCTATTAGACAATCATTATATATGTCAAAGAAGTATTCACTGATAACATTCTGTAAAAATGCCCATTGTTTAATTTAGAAGACAGCACTGTAAAATTGATTTCCTCATAGAGACATGCCTTAAAAAAAAAAAAAAAAAAAAAAAAAAGATCTCCGGCAAATATTTATATGAAACGTTAGAACAATTTTCAAGGTTTTATACTAAATACAGGTACAAGAAACAAAGAGAGGTTAATGTTCAACCATTTCCAGGGAGTAACCATTTAAATATATCCAGTGACTTTTCAACACATTAATTTTTTTCTTCAAGCATTTTATCAAGCATTCTGTTCTATGTGGTAGTTTCCATTGCTTCATCAATACAATCAGTGGTTTATATGGCTATTAGTACTACAAATTATTTATTAGAATTTCGATTAAAATAGGCACCTCAAACATAGGCAATTCAGAAAAAGGAAATCCTTAAAAATGTGCTCTCCGAAACATTCAACATCACAGTTGCTATGGTTTTCTTTCTTAAAAAAAAGAAAAGGATCTAATTTTAACTTGCTGTTAAATGTAACCAGAGAAACATTATGAGAAAAACCATCTTGCTTGTTAGTCCACTAGTACACCTTGGTATTTTAAAAAATACATTAAAAATATTTCTTCGATTCAATGATTATTTATTGAACACCTACTATGAGCAACAAATTGTAATAAGTAATAAAAAGGAAACTAAAGATGACCAAGACAGGGTCTTGGCATTCTAGAGCTCATAGCTGGAGGTAGAGGTGGAGTATGGGGAGGAGGGATGTATAGATAAACAAATTTATACAGAGGTGACACTCTCTTACTACACTGTGAACTACTAGAGAAGTGGAAATGTGTCACAATCCTTTTACTAGCCTATGTCTAGTTCCTTCAGAGCCTGGAGTATAACAGGCCCTCAATGCACATTTGTTATTCAAATGAGTGGGTGGCTGAAGTGA